CTAGTTCCAAAAGACATACGTTCTTTCTTAATTTTCCTGTCTTTTATCTCTCCGCTTTTGAAGACTTAAGCGCCGCATGATCCTGTACCTTTAACTAGACAGTCATTATGGCCACACCACCAGTTCGCCAATGGGGGGTTACTCCTCCGATCTCTACGGTCTTGCCGACCCCAGATGAGCTCGCTGCAAATGACGATCTGATCTCTGAACTAAAGTTGCAGAACAACTTCGAAAGCCCTACAGAGACCGAGCACAGGTAAGGCGATCAGGGGTCTTTCACAATGCTCGACATGAGCGCTCATTATCTTGGCTTCACAGGAAGAATACCCTCCAGCTTATTCAACGTGTCACGGTCGAGTTCGTCAAAGTTGTCAGCCGAAAGAAGGGACTCTCCCCTGCTGCAGTGGAGGCAGCAGGAGGAAAGATCTTTACTTATGGAAGTTATCGCTTGGGTGTTTACGGACCTGGTGAGTCGCCAGCTGTTCTTGATTTTTTTTTTTTCCTTTTTTTTTATGGTATTCCTGAATATTAATTGCGCTTCGTGGCAGGGTCGGATATCGATACCTTGATTGTTGGTCCGAAGCATGTTGTCATCGATGACTTCTTTTCAGATTTCCCCCCTGTTCTTGAAAGAATGGCTCCACAAGGGGCTGTTGAGAAGATGACTCCTGTTCCAGATGCCTTCGTACCTATTATCAAACTCGAATTTTCCGGTATTAGTATCGACTTGATTTATGCCCGCCTGATCGTCCCTTCAGTTCCGCTCAACCTTGATTTGAAGAACAATGACTACCTTAGAGGCTTGGATGAAAAAGAGGTCAGATCGCTCAATGGCACTCGTGTAACTGACGAGATCTTGGAGCTTGTGCCTCAACAGAAAACATTCCGTCTCGCTTTACGTGCTATCAAACTCTGGGCGCAACGTAAGGAACATTGTTTTTGACTTTTAAAGTGCTTGCTAGCTAACCGTTCCACCCTATGCATAGGCAGAGCCATTTACTCTAATATTGTGGGCTTCCCCGGTGGTGTTGCTTGGGCTATGTTGGTGGCTAGAGTGTGTCAGCTATACCCCCAGGCGACCGGGTCGGTGATTGTGGGCAAATTTTTCCGGATAATGAACAAATGGGCTTGGCCTCAGCCTGTGTTGTTGAAGCCAATCGAGGATGGTCCTCTCCAGATGAAGGTTTGGAATCCAAAGGTGTGTACCGCTACTGGTCGCTTGTCGGTTTCGAATAGTCACTGATCTGGTCGTAGATTTATCATGGTGACCGCTTTCACCTGATGCCGATAATTACTCCTGCGTACCCTTCAATGTGCGCTACGCACAACGTCTCCATGTCAACCAAGACTGTTATCCTTCGCGAATTGCAACGAGGCGGTGATATCGTAGACAAGATTTTCCTGAAGCAAAACACTTGGAATGACCTCTTCGCGAGACATTCGTTCTTCACGCGCGACTATAAGTATTACCTCAGCATAACCGCATCGAGTAGAACCAAAGAAGCAGAAGCGGTCTGGTCTGGACTTGTTGAATCAAAGATTAGACATTTGGTTGGAGCTCTGGACAGGAAGTCAACCATCGCAGTGGCTCACCCGTTTCCCAAAGGTTTCGAAAGGGTTCATATCGTCAGCAGCGAAGAGGAGGCTGAGGCTGTTAAAAATGGGTCTACAAAGTATCAAGATAAGGGACAAAAAACAGAGACCACCGATGAGATAAACGACGCTGCTCATCAGGCTGCGGCTAACAGCCAGATCGAAAAACGGGATGTCGCAGAGACCGTGGAGAATAAGGCCAATGGCGAAAGCCGAACCATCTACACCACAACATATTATATCGGGCTGGAGTTGAAACCATTGGAGCCAGGTATGTTAGCCAATAACCCTATCTGATCCCACTGACTTGAGAAGGTCAATCTCGGTCGTTGGATATTTCAACCGACGCCCAGATATTTAAGTCGACTTGTACCTCTTGGCCTGGATATCAACCTGGTATCAATGACCTGGCCATCATCCATGTGCGGAAGTAAGTTTTTTTTACCTGGATTTTAGCAGTTCGTACTTTAACACTCAAATCAGCTTCGACCTTCCTGAAGATGTCTTTCAACCAGGAGAAACGCGTCCCCAGCGACCTAAGAAGAAGATTATCAAGAAATCCGGAGCGGGCGGTCAGAAACGAGGCATCGAATCATTGGACGTAAGTGCATACAAGAAAATTCGAGTGGACTATGGACGGCAAGCTACTTCTACGGAATTCGACCCCTCGCACTTAGCGGTGCTCAAGAGTTCTGGCATCTGAATATGACTGATATCAACCGTTGATCTCTCTTTACAGGATCCATCGCTTCCGGCTGCGAAACGTCAGATTCCGTCCAACGGAGTGCCCAATACAGCAACACCTGCGTGAGTGCCTATCAACCGTAGTTAGGCCCAAAACCACGATGGGGCAGGTCCCCGATCTGTTCGTGAGTGAGATGCTCGACATCAACAGCCACCGTTGCAGCCATATGAAGAACCGCATCCGGATTGGATGATATGTAGTAAATGGGCGGCACATCTCCTAGTATAATCCCAGCTGAAATCCACTAAAAAAGAAAACCTACAGTTGATCTAGTGATTCGTCCTACGAGACGCACTGTTGCAACTGACGTCAGGAATTTCAAGGTTGGTTTCTTCTCTCTTTCTACTACCTTTTTTCTTTCTTGACCACACAGACATTATTTCTGTGCTATCTTGCCCACCGAGCGACTACCTCATTGCAGGCGTTAGTGACAGTGGAGGCGGTTGATCATACTTGCATTACGCGGTTGGGCTCACAAATTCCCCTAATTTTCTATTTCCTATTATTGCACATCGCACGGAGATTGTAGGTCCACACTGCGGGTGGTTGAGACTGTACATATCACCTTGCTTTTTCAGTTAGGCCTGGTAGAAGTGCCAGCTAGCTTTAGTTGAAATAAAGAATGTCTTTTTCGTGGCCTACGGGCCACCAGTTACAACCAGTGTTCTCCAAAATGCCGTGTTTTCGTAGGCAGTTAGTAAATTTGCGTTGGTTCCTGTTCCATTCGGTCCGTTACAGGCAAAGGTTTGTACAAAATTCATTTAGTTCGTCTACTTACGTCTAACATGCATGTATACACCCAACAATCCGCATTCAGCTCCAAGCTTCCACCAAGTCACACAAAGTAGACTCACCACCAACATTCCCAGGGAAAACCACAAAAGGAACACCTCGATGTCTCGAAGTGGACTCATCGCATCGCCACAAAGGCACCCCAGGCGCCGCCTGACCAACAATCAAAGCCCGTTTTATATTCAAGCCCTTAGTCGCAGCATCAGAGGACGTGATCCCACCCTGAAACCATCAGTATCCGACCATACCCACACACAAAGTTCCAACTCTCAGAACATATCGGATAAAAGAAAACAACTAACCTTGGCAATAATATACCTCGGACGAATCTGAATCTTCCTTAGCACACTGACCAAGGCACTCGCAACATTCGTCCCAATAGCTAGAGACGATAGCTCACTATCCCCCGTGATCAACTTGCGACTCGTCATGACCAAGGTATCCTGACCGGATTGAAGATGGGACTCGGCCTCCTGAACTGTCCGCTGAATTGCGCCTGCAGCGCTTTCCGGCGACGCGATCAGTTCTTCGACGTTCATTTCGAGAATGGCGAGTTGGCCTGTTTCTCCGCGTTTGGAGGTGAGTACCTTCAGCTGGGCTGTTGTCTTAGGTACGTAGGATCCGGCGATGATTAGCCCGCCTGTTTCTCTAGGGACGGGGAGTTGGAGTTCGCTTGCTGTTATGGGGGATTTGGAGCGGATTCCCAGACGGGTGGATACGAAGGCTGCGCCGGTGCGGTAGAGGAAGTGTTTGCCTTTTGCTTCGGCTGTTGCTGATTAGTTTCTGGTAAATAATGAGGGGAATAGGTTGGGGGATTGGACTGCATACCCAATAGCAAACCAGCAACGAAGACATGCATATCAGACTCCGCCGCAGCATTGACGATAATGACACCGCCCCGGGGGATGCCCATCAGCTTCTCGAAGACTGCTTGGGGTCCTCCCACCCGGATATCGTGTATCGATATCGAATGTAGCTGCTCCGGCTGAAATCTCGCGGCCGCTTTCTCAACAACATAGTCCCTGAGGTTCGAACTCTTATATCCGAAAGTGGCATCCTTCGCGAACTGCGTCGTCCCCGTCGGGACCAGGTTCTCTCCCTCAGCCACATAATGCACATCATCGATGGTGAAGCGTCCACCCTGGAAGAAGAAAGGAGCGAGCACTAACCCGTCCGCGTCCCCGAACACGGACTGCGCAACGTCAGTTTCGAGCGGGAAGTGGCCCCGTAATGTACTGTCACCGCGCAGGACGATGTCCACTGTCTGTCCTACGGACTTGGCGACTTGCGCAACGTTCTCGCAGATCTCGCGGATGAGTTTCTCAGCTTCGAGGGGTGGGAGCGCGCGCGAGTTGGTCAGGATGAAGAATCCTGGGGAATTCTGTTTGAACTCTTCGGTTAGGGTTGGGATGTCCCAAACGGTGAGCACGGAGATGTCATGGCATGTTTGTGTTCCGGTGGGGTCGTCGTCGAGCACAACTAGACGGTTGAGAGTTGAGGAGGCCAGGAGTTGCGAGATCTGGTCTTGGGCGTCTGCAGGATATGCGGGGGGCAATTGGGCCAGGGTGCTTTCGCGTGGTAAAATGGGGTAATCTTGTAAGGATGACATGATGGCTCGTTAACCGGTGGAATTGAGTCAATGTTAATTGATCCAAAGAATGAAGTGGTTGTTATGGATTTTGGGGGTGGGAGAAGCTCTCTATTTCAACCCCACATTTAATACTTGGAAGCAATTATGTGCGGGGGAAGGGATCGGAGACTAGTCCGATGTATAGCCAAACCAGAACTTCAAGCTTTCTCTATAGTATAGAAAGATCTAGCATCTTGTTATTCACAACATGGTCACTCATTGAACAAATCCAATCAGTCTAACAGAACAATGCAATGAGGAGAAAAGAAGAAAGAGGAACATAGGGCTCTCAAAAACACCGCAAGCGCCGTGGCATGTGCAGAGAAAATGCAAAATAGTCATGACTATGACAGTGATGCAGATGCTGTTGATCCAAAACAGAATATGAAAAATAGAAAGAGAAAGAAAAGAAAAGAAAAGAATGATCGTATAGATCCCAACCAGTCATTACGCATATCCTCCCTTCCCTTTTATTGTGAATAGCAGAAACCGTTCCCTTGCACTCCTCAAGTCTCGTCGCACGCAATGCTCAAGAGATCTCATCATAAAAAAAAAAAAATTAAAAAAAAAGAAGAAGTAGAAACGAAAGACAACCCACCCAGCCATCCGAACCGGTCATTAAGGAAGCCCAATCAAAGAGATTCGAGATAGTAATAGTGAAGTCACGCAGAAAAAGACAGTATCATAGTCCTTGGGGAAAGCGAACATCGGTCATAAGCAACGGTTTAGCCGACAACACTGCGGAAACTCAAGGCTTCAAGGAAGGCACCGAGGTCTTCCTTTCGCACCTCGACCACGCAGTGATCAAAGCTGTCAATACGAACGCGAGTGTTGGTTTCTTGGACAACTTCTTGAAAAGCGATTCCAAAACGGTTCCGCAAAAGATGTTTATCGGCGCGTGTATCGTCTTCGTCTTCAGACTCCGACTCCGATTCAGAGGATGATTCTTCCTCTTCGCTTTCTTCGAAGTCTTCTTCACCATCCGCTTCTCGTTGAGCCCGCTCTGACGCACGCTTCGCTCGCCGCTCTTCCTTTTCCTTTCGCTTCGTCTCTTTGACTTCTTTCTTTTTCCGACGCTCTTCTCGCCGTTTATTCAAAGCAGCGAAGTCAACCACACCACCTCCCCCACCAGTACCGACAACTACATAAAGGTCTCGATCTTCATCCAGTCCAGCCAGTACCAAAGGGGTTCCTGCAGCACGCTTGCGCCCAATCTTAACTAAATCGCCTCGCTCCCGCTCCTGTACTTGAATTGCTTCGGCAATCCACAGGGCTAACTTAGTCAACGCCCCTGGATTAGTGAATAACTTGACATCCGGCCCATCTTTGACAACAGCGATGCGAAACGCACGCAAGTGTCGAATCTGATGCTTTGAAAGTAAAGAAGTGCCGGTGCGTAAAATCGAGCGGTGTAGGTGCTGAGCAAGGGGAAGCGCCTCTAGGAGAAGCGTAGGTGACTCGGGGGTTAGAGATAGGGCGTCATATGCACACCAGAATCGGGGCACAATACTGGCTAGATCCGACTCGGTAGAGTCGACGCCATTCAATTCGGGCGCACTCCTTGGTCGCGAAAGGTGTTTTGTGTCCCACGACCCAGGCGCCTCCTCTGGTCCGACCTCGAGCATAGCACCAATGATAACACCCACATCAGTGGCAGACAAACAAGCCTTCCAGCCCCAGCAGCGCACGAAACCCCATCCCTCACGAGAGGCAGCATGTCCAGATGCCTCCGCGGGTACCAAACCATCCAGGCCGTACATTGGTGCATACTTAAGGAGGCGTTGACGTAGTACCCGTTTTAATTCCATGTCCATATGGGTGTAACTCTGGTGAGACTGGCTCAAGCTGATGCCCATCTTAGCTAGGAGTTTGTTGAGTCGTTTCCTACCATTCTCAGTCCACACATGTAATCGTGACGCTAAGTAGGGGCTATGGAGCATGCTATCATATAGCGACCAGTGTCGTATAAGGATGAATCTAGGTTCAGGCGACAGACGAATAGATTTATCTGTGGGCGACTTTGCCGTGGTTGGGATAACACCGTTGATCTCTCCTCTTATATCTCGATCCCGTTCATAAGGATCCGGTGGGTTCAGCCGATGGACCTCGTCTCGTAAAATCTGTCGTATACGCTCGCCCCGTTCACCACCCCAACCAGCTGACCCTCCAGATTCCGACGAGTTAGAGATACCGACCCCAGACATTGTACGGCCGCTAAGCTCTAAGCTAGATGCGCCGACAATGGCAAGCCAGAGCAGGTCGTTGTCCTCACGACCAAGCTCCGACGCCAAAGAGTACACAAGGGACGATATAGGTTCTGAGTATGAGGTGCCAGAGGAATAGTAATTCTGTAGCACACTCTCATGTTTTCGTTTTAGTCGCAGTAGGCGCCGTTTCAACGAGCGCGCGGATGGCTGTTTGGGTTGTGCAAGCGACGGCGATTCTAATACTGGTGTGACAGCGCGTGATGAATGAAAGGGATCATGCGCTCTGGGCCGTTGACGAGTGGGTGAAGAAGCAAGCGAGGACCCCTACAAGCTACATTAGTACCACATTTAAAGGAATACCGGCCCCACGTAGAACATACCGAATTGCTTCTCCTCCGTTGACGGGGCGGCCCATCCTCCTCGTCAGATTCGTCCTCGTCGTCCGTCCGCGACCATGACTTGCGTTTTCTAGAGTCCGAACTCGATGGTTGGTCTACTTCCCCTTCACTGCCCGAATCATCACCGAGATCCTCTTCGTCTTCTTCATCTACCTCCGGCATCTCTAACAGTGCGCAATATGCTTCTCGCTCCTTGCTCATGTCCTCCTCGATATCCCCATCGTCGTAGACCACGATACCCCCACTACTCGATTTGTATGAGGGTGTGATACATCCCTTGTTCACCCCGCGCGTTTTCCGTCGCGCATTGGCATCAATCTCGCCCAGCGCTTGTTCCGACACGGGCTCGCCACCAAAGACATTGGCTAGGTTCCACGGTCGTCTCGCATCAAATACCCAGACCTCAACCCCGCCCATATCCTCCACATCATCCTCGGGGTTGCTGAGGCAGAGTATCTCGCTCAGGTCCACCAAGCCACCCACGCCTAGACAGACCACCACACCGCCGCTACCACCATTGGTAGTCTGCATGGGCTTGACAAGATCCTCCCCCGCACGAGATAGGTCGCCATATCCCGCAACTGGTTGGATCTTGTGGGGTATATAATCGCGTTTTAGCAGAGCAGTGAGAATTCGACAAGCGCAGAGCGCATCGGGCTCCAGAGCCACAAGAATCAACACAGGCGGAGACAGTGGATGGTGTGATCGAAGGAGTTGTAGGTAAAGGTGCGATATAAGCTGGCGAGGTAGATACATGGCAGCCGGGGGAGTCGACGAACAATGTGCGAACGAAGGAGCCGACAAATACTGAAGTTAGGCCTCCAAGAGGCCCTGCTCTAAGCCGAGAAACAATCAAACCACGGACTGTTCACACAAACAAATTCAATGGTGTTTTGGTTGGCTCCATTCCCGGGTGTTGGCGAGTCTCTTGGGGTAACAAAAGCAATTCGTCGCGAATGTCCAGACGCGTCGGGGACGTGCCACACGTGCGGAGATTGCCGCCAAGCCCGCTTTCTGGTTCAATAAATTTAATTTCCTAGCATAAAACATCATTCATGACCCGCATAAATTTACTAGTTAGAGAATAAGCAAGGGAAAGAGAATAGTGAGTAGAAATAATAATAATTAACAAATAAATCAAAATTTTTCACAGACCGTAGTCTGATTTGTCATATAGAAATTGTCCTATCAGTCTCACAATGGAATCTAAATAAAGAAATTAATGCACAAGGGCATTCTCTGCTCCTTTGTTTTCTTAAGATACATAGATAGGAGGTAGATGAACTGTGCTCTTCAATTGGACTGAAATAAGAAGAGCGTCTGAAATGCTGTCAATTCCAGAGATCTAGCTGCTGTATGCCCATTATGTGCGAAAAAAAAAAAAAAAAAAAAAAAAGACATATATCAAGAGAGAGTGTGTGTGAGAGAGAATAATGATAATCCAACAACGCCTGTCAGTACTCCTGAAACTAGGTATCACATAATGCAGAACCACAGGCTGTAGTCACACTGTACGCTGGTAGCATAGGAAAGCACAACCGAATGCCATGGATGAGTAAAAGAACGAGACTATAGAGACATGAAATATATAGTTGGATTGTTTTTTAGACCATGATCAAACTGAGGACCTGCCTAAGATCGATCCAGTCAGCCAGACAGCAGCGCAGACCCCCAAGACAGAGGCTCCAACTAGTCGCTTTTCCCAAGGAGCTTCTTGGGACATTTTGGCCGGCTCAAAGTTCTTCCTAGGCGAGTGGGGTGATAAAGAAGCTTGCGATCCGGGGTTGTCGTTACCTCCGCGAAGCGACGAGTCGTTTTGATTGACCAAGTATTCTCGGTCGCGTGCGCGCCATTTCTCAACCAGTCGCGCAATCTCAATGAGGTCTTCTTTTAAAGATCCCGGGTCAGTCGCGGTAGTATTCTCAACCTCAATGTTCTGGACATTCCCGAAGAAATCCACCACCGTTCGTAGGCGGCCCTCCTGCTCAGCGCCAGGGAACAGATCCCACCGCACGCCTGGTTGTGAGTGAATCTTAGTTTCGTCATATGAATCAAACAAGTCGCCCAGTGTCAGTTTAGAGTTCGCACTTGTGACCTGAGTTTCAAGAAACTCGAGCACATAGTACGTCCAGCGGTCAATCACTGCAACTCCGACATCATTGTCGGCATGATGAGAGTATGAAGACTGATCAAGCTCGCTGGATCCGGTGGCAATGATATTAGGCGAATAGAAATGCGTATACATCGTGTTGGCCTGGCAAGTATCGATCATGAACAGTAGCTCATGATAACGCTTCTTCTCCCACATTTGACCGAAGGCATCCGCCAAGTCCCAAGCTCCAATCTCCTCGGAGTCCTGAAACTTGAGAAACTGGTCTCCTCCATGTCCGGTCATATACACAAGTACATTACTTCCCGCGTCAGACCCAAGGCGTTTGCTCCGTGGTACATCTTCGTCTAGCCGATCGGTCAAAAGACGGATGAAATTCTCCACAGTTACCTCATAGCCCCGGTAATCCACCTCAATATTGTCTCCGTAAAGGTCGACTGCGCGATCTGCATTGCTGTAGACTGTTCCTGGGAAGACATTGCGAGGGTTGCAGGCCATATCGTCAGGAAGCATCAGGATAATCTGCGAATCGGGGATTCCGAGGCGCTTGACGGTACGATACAGCGAGAGAACATTTGCGAGGTGGCGGTAATTGAACCAAAAGCGCGAGGTCGAAACTAGGACGGCCCAATTCGATGTATGCTCAGATGAAGCTAAAGACACAAAGACTGTGAGGAGGAAGGGAAGGACCCTAAGGAGCCCAAAGTATGGAAACATAGTGAGCGCTCGAACGTCAAATCATAATAGAGCTAGAGAGGGTTGCGTAGTGAGCGACAGACAAGGGCGACAACAGTAGCGCAATACAGAAATGAGCGTGACTAGGTAGGTGGAGATGTTTATGGAGGTCGTGTAGTAGTTAAGTAGTAGTATGCTTATCAATTCAAGTGGAAAAGGACAGCCAGAAAGAGGGTCACATCGGGAAGATCACTAAGGCATCCATCGAAACTTGAATGTTAGCGCCTGAGGCATCAAATGTCACAATCAGTAAGCTTTACAGCCTAAGGCATCAAGAATTATAGACAAAAACCAAGTTTCCTACCAATCACATTGACGTCCGTGGTGGTACTGGAATGAAGTAGTAGTATCCATGGACAGGGGTGGTATGACAGGAAAGCGGTGTCTTAAATAAGAACAGGATATTATAATCATCCGCTTTGATTCCTTGTCTGAACTAAAGGAGGGGTCGAGACTATATCCAACTTTTCGGCTATAACTACTAACATATTTGCAGAAGTATGCTCGGGTTCATCATCTTTTCTCTATTCATCAGTTATATTGCCTACATAGGTCTCTGTTTCCTCCGACACAGGAACCTTGCACGGAAGATTGGATTGCCATACGTCTCGTTTCCTATTTCATCGCATAATATACTCTTCCTATCTCTTTTTGAGACTCAGTTCGTTCCATACGTGATCAACACATGGCTCCCACCCAAACTAGCCGACTATATCTATGGTAGCGCCTTCAAAACCCGCTGGGCGGCAAAGGACCGCCTCCATAAGAGGCAGGGGGAGGTTTATATGCTCATTACCCCATCCGTATCAACTTGCATGGTGGGCGACGCCTCAGTAGTCTCTCAGATCTGCATGTCTCGTCATGGTTTCCCAAAGCCGCTCGAACAATATAGTAAATCATCCTGACCTGACTCACATATTGCCGCAAAACTAATGGATATCTGCATCATAGGGGCCCTGGACATATATGGTCCAAACATTATCACAGTAAGATGTCCAAACTGTTATCTGCATTGACATCGAGTATTCAGAGTCTCGGCTAATGAAACACAGTCTGAAGGCTCTCAGTGGGCACATATGCGTCGACATACAGCGACAACGTTTAATGAGAGAAATAGCGCCCTGGTTTGGGAGGAAACAATCCGCCAGGCCAACGAAATGTTGCAATATTGGGAGGACGAGCATTCTAGAAGCACTTCACCGTCCGAATTTGTCTTGACAGACGCTAGAGAGGATATCTTAAAACTCACTCTCAATATAATTTGCAGTGTTGGATACGGAGTGAAGCTTCCGTTCAGACCCGTCCTTGAAAATTCGACTGAAAGTGCCGAAGGCTTGTTCAAGGATGCCATAACACCTTCGCCAGGCTACCGCTTCACGTTCCGCTCTGCGATGGAGTACTTGAATAAGCACCTTACCTCAATATTTATAGCTAATGGCCACCTTCCCAAAGGTATCCCACGGTCCGTACTTCCATTTTTCAAGAATGACTTCGATGCGTTCGACGATATTGGCAGGTATCTGCGGGCGTTAGTGTCGACGGCTGAAACTAAGGAAACCCTAACTCAGAACTTACTTGATGGTTTAGTTAGATCTAAACAGAAGGGAGACAAAGAGCAAGGAGTCAACCCTGAGCTCACGGATGATGAGATACTTGGGAACCTGTTCGTATTCACAATCGCAGGGCACGAAACCACTGCTGTTACTCTTCGGTTTGCTCTTGTGCTCCTTGCTCTCAATCAAGATGCTCAGGAGTATTTGTACGAGGCAATTCGAGAAGCAACATATGACGAGCCTCATAACCCTGTTGACTGGGATTATAGACGCGTTTATCCAAAGCTCGTTGGCCCCTTATGCGTAATGGTATGTGGCATAATCTGCCTTTTGTGGTTGTAATTGTTCCTAGAGTAATCACTGAGTCCTTCAGCTTGAAACACTTCGGATGTATCCCCCAGTGACGGGCATTCCCAGGTGGACAGGTGACTCCGCAGTCAATATCACGTACCATAACCAGTCTTACCTCCTTCCGCCACATGTTTATGTCAACCTCAATGCCAGTGGGCTTCATTATTCCGAAGTGTACTGGGGTCCAGATGCAGCTGTGTTCGATCCCAAGAGATGGGATAAGCAGAACACGGGAAGCTTCCTGGCGAAGAATGCAGGAGAAGGTCTGACAGGGCCAGGGCTGGAATATGACACAATCCATAAACCAGTCCGAGGCTCATATATTCCTTTCAGCGACGGCTTCCGGGCGTGTGTAGGCAAGAAATTTGCTCAGGTTGAGTTTGTAGTTGCCGTGGCCATTATCTTTCGTGAGTATCACGTTATGTTGGCGAAATCCAGTGAACGTGAGGCCGAGGACGATATGCGTCGGAGGGCGGAGAAAGTTTTAGAAGAAAGTACTTCGTTTATCACGTTGTCGATGCGTGATGAAATACCGCTGTTGTTCCAGAAACGGTGCGTTAGCAAGGCCTAATCATGTAACTTAGTCGCCGTTAATATGGATAGGAAATGTGCCATGGGTGCTTTAGGTGTCATATCTGGGTCATTCCATACTGTCAATCATAGCTCTTCTTTCTTCCCCTCATTGGTTTTCCCACCTTCTTTCGACATGAGATTATGCAATGATATTGAAGCAGACTTAAGCCTCTAGACTGCCCATAGTACACCACGACGTGATAGCTATCAGTAAACAATCACTGTGATCAATGAAAGCCAGGTAACCGCAACGTTCGGTATATGATTGGGGAGAAAGGATCAAGTCACTGCACATAGCTAGACGTATGAGAGGCCTTTGGATGGATAGCAAACAAGTGTGCTAACAGTAGGCTAGGGCATGCTATGGTTTTCTTGGCCTAACCCATGTTCTAGGTAAAGTCCCACGGTTAGTAGTGGAGAGAATTGTGGTTAATCCAATGCCGTGAGTGGTGTTAACAAAAGTCGCCAAGCACTTCCCGCAGCCCTAAATCAGGGGTCGACGAGGCGCAGCAAGGCATCATTGAGTCGATTGCTTCAAATTACCAAAATTCGAATAGGTACCGTTTCTAACAGTGGTGCAGCTCTAGGTCAGGACGAACCATGATTCGGAAGATGGCCGATGCCAGCTGTCTAACAGAACCCCTTCACTACTCCTGGCCATCGCGGTCAGATGGAGCCAGGCTCTTTGATCTTTTCCCAGATACAACGGTTATGGCACCTCTTCTTGTAGACTCTATTAGAAAAGTAACGGATGTTGTCAATAGACCGTAAATTCGGAGTATAGAAGAGTGTGCCGAACTTCTCTTTAGGGCACGTATGCCTGCACAAGTGACGGGACTATACTAGTGTTTCTCTCTCAGTCATTCGGACTCATTCCACCATAGAGACAAACGGCTTCGGCGATGTAGACGATCAAAGCCCATATACCTGCCCTCAACGAGCTGTCGCTTCCGGAGTAACTTCCGCTCTTCAAATAGATATATACACAGCAGTAGCAACATCGACATGGTGGAGATTGGCCAACAATCTCTGGAGATCCACCACTGCGTTTTCCTCTGCCTGCCACACCAGTCATCGTGGCGTGCTTTCATAATAGAGAGATCCTTCTTCCAAATAACAACACACCACACTTGGATTTGATATACTGTACTTAATATAAGTGGTGTCGGTGGCTCTTAGTAACCCTGACCCCGAACTTTACACAGAATAGACGCTACACTTTCAATCATTTGAGGCCAGGTCTTAAGCAACTAGAAAGTTTACTAACTTGGAAGGTCATGGCATCTATAGTACGGTGAGTAATGGACTAGCATCCCAATCCGCCAAGAACTAAAGTCGTAGTAGCCTCCATTGTGTAGCGATTAGTGTCGGTCGCGGAGGGGGACTGAGTCGGTCCATCAAAATTTTCATTCCTAGTACTACCCTCTCATTTTCTGATAATCCAACCATGTTCCTCCTATAGACTATAGTGTCACCACCACGCCACCCATTCAGGAGGTCAGTGAAATATTGAAGTCCGGAATATACATTCCCTCAGGCGACACGCTCTTTCCCGGAACAAAGGGTAGAGTAGGTTAACTATGGGTAGCAATGCCTATCACGTACTATTTGGGGCAAATGACCTGGCATAGCCCCGCCATATGTCTGAGTTGAGTCAATATAGAGAGGTGGAGCACTTTTTGTTGTGTATCTTGAAACAATCTAACATGAACGGGCAAATATCCAAGCCAACACCTGCAGCGGCTCCAAGTGGGCCAGTCCCTTCAGCCATCTTGCACTTGGCCCACGATAGGAGTAAACCTAGTATATCTAAAGACGATACTTAATCTTTTCATTGTAGACATGGTGGATAGTCAAGAGGGAAGGCCAAAGAAGATTGTCCTTACCATGGAATCACTGTGGTGGCTTCTACGCAGGGCTAGGAGTTCCCTCATTACCCTTTGGAATTTTCTATGGCTACACCCTCTCCTTTCGTTTTTTACTGCCTCTCTAGTCTTTCTTTTTGTATCTCTTACACAGTCATTCGTTGAATTCTCTGACAACCTTAAAGTCCATTCACTTTCTCTAAAGAGCTTTTCCCCTGCCTATGTTACAGCGCTTAATGAGTCTATCAATCTTGGTCAACCGATCCAGTTCGATGCCGCAGACAACAAAACTTCTCCTGCCTCCATCCCACGAATCATCCACCGAACGTACAAGACAAACGATATACCTTCGCACTGGAAAGGGACCTACGAGTCATGTCGCGTGTTGAATCCCACCTACGAGCAATACTTCTGGACTGACGAGTCTTCTCGTCAGTTCATTGAAACCCATTTTGACTGGTTCCTGCCCACCTACGATGCCTACCCATACAACATCCAGCGGGCTGATGCTATCCGTTATTTCCTACTATGGCATTATGGAGGCGTGTACATCGACATGGATATAGCTTGTCGCCGACCGTTGGACCCGCTGCTGGATTTCCCTGCTTGGATGCCCAAGACCCAACCATACGGTGTCAGTAACGACCTGATGGCGAGTACCCCAGGACATCCATTCATCACCAAAGTTGCCCTGGGCCTGCATGATCACGACGGCTTCTACCTCTCCAAATACATCACGGTATTCTTTACAACGGGACCCATGTATCTCAGCAGTATTTTGACGGAGTGGTTTCGAAAAGTGCAAAATGGCCCTGGTGAGGAAATTACCATGCCACATGGCGTTGCTATACTGCCTTCCATGATGTACGACACCACTGCGTACTCGTTCTTCGGTCACGCCCCAGGATCCACCTGGCATGGAAACGATGTAGCGGCAGTCAGTTACGTTTACAAACACTGGCGTGAGATTTGTCTCAGCGCAGTTGTACTTGGCTTACTGGTATTGACGATCTATATCTTACGGGTCAGGAGAAGACGGTCAAAGTATACCTTGATTTTAGATAGGCAAGTTGAGGGGGCAGGCTTTTTGTGATGTTTCATTCATTTCTAACCAGCCCAACGGAATGTGGGTAGACGCCTTTGTTCTTTCTTTCTCTTGTCTTCCTCACTTTACTTCATTACATTGGTTCTATACTCTCTTTTACCGTGCAAACTGCAGCGCGACGCTTTTATCTCCTTGAATATAGATGCTTAGGATTAGATATACCCAGCGCTCCGCAATGAATTAACCTCTTACACAATATAATATTCTCTTTGGAGAAATTAAGATAACGCCTTATAGCACCAACAAGAGGATAGGGGCGTGGAATTAATGCCTTGTGAAATGTGTATGAGCAACACCTAAAGGCAATCTAGGTCATTACAAGCTTCTATTTGGTGGATTGGTGCACCTTCCATCTGCCCCGTAAAATCCGATGAAACTCTTCCGCTTAGTAATTTTTCGACATCTGGGGCAGAACTTCCAATGAGAGCATATCATACCAGAAACAGGGACCCTTAAAGCCTTATTGATTGGGGCCCTTGTGGGGATATTCTGACTATCGAACCCTAGAACCATTAGGGCCCTAACCACCAGCCCCTATAAGTTGACCGAAGCATCCACTTCAGCGAGGCAGTGCCGCAGTGTGGAGGGTAAAACATGCTGCGCCTCTCGGTCTTGGCCACAACTATCGGCTTTTCAGGGAATGAAACATGGCTAAATCAATGAAATCTGCGTTTGGAAGTTTTCTAGAGAGGTTCTTACAGAATATAATGCTGATCTTCGAATCTCAAACTCTATCATACTAGCACTTATACTCCTGGATTGGGGAACAATATGTTTCAAGTGGGGTATATGTTGATTAAGCTATATCTCAACGTTCCCCAGTAGGTTATACGTACTGTATCTCTGAACGTACTCCGTAGTACTAGTTCCTAGCCAATAGTTCAGCACTTTAATCATATAGTGCTTATACAGGTGTCAACTGCCGGTCGACCTGTATACTACTTGGGATGCGCTGGTACCTCAACCCGTCAGAAGGTAGAGAACATGGATGTTATGAGTAGTTGAGCCAATCTGCTATAATTTACTAAGACACCATATGCTTCTTTTTGAAGCGAGCTACAGTGAGGTAGTATGTGACCCATGGAAAGTCGAATGATAGTTCTGACATGCCACCAGCAGTAGAAAGAAAGTGACCCGATTAGGCAAGGCGTACGAAGCGCAAGAACTTTAGGATTCGATTGCGGTAAAGCTAACCGGAAGAAGAATAGATATTCTTGCCAAGCTTTCAAAGTGGCCCACCGATTCTGCCTTGACTTTCAAGGGCTCCGTGATCGCAGGGCTGCCTTGACTGACCCTAATCATTAATGTCGGAGGTTGCTCGCTCTTACCCTTCCCACGGCTCATGTATCATTGCGTCCCCACTTGCTCATTTATGAAGTAACTCCAAACTGCCTTGTCCCTGTCTAGGATGCATGTTTCACCTCTTTATGCAGTTTAGGAGTCCACCTACTATACTCTCTTTCCTCAAACGGCATATTCTAATAGTGGAGCTATGTACTATCGTCCTTTGTGACATGGAACAGGGGAATCCAAGGATTGTCCTGCGTAAAAACAAAGTATACAAGGTTCAACAGTAAATCTCTTACTAAAATATGATGGAGGACCCTGATACTTGTACATATTGCGTCTAGGTATAGCCAGTTTGCGTTCACGGGGCCTTATAGACTTCTAGTATGACATTCCGATAACTAATATCTTTTCTGAGCAAGGTAATCGCTATACAAGATCCCACACCCGCTATAGCAGGGTATCTTTTGCGCTTTATAGCGGCTTGCACGTAATTCTCAGGCCCATGCATCCAATCTATCTCATCACCACACAGGACCAATCACTTTCTCTAACCAGCTACGTACATGGCGATCACAATCCTGGCGGTTTGTTTGTGCTTCACACCCAAGCCTATTGGCACACCATTGCAACCTGTACCCTATCAAGAATATTATCCCACTCAATGCAACAATTATCCACTCGTACCCCATCTATCGTACATGAAGACCCACGCCATCATCTACTATTAGCAGGTCTCCTGAATTTACTGATCAGTTTCTCGGCGGTGTGACCGGAGAAGGGATGGTGTGGACATTTTTCGGAAGGCTGTGGTTTGATCCACACAATCAGTTCGATGGGGCACCTCGCCCGGAGGCACTCCGTTTTCCTCCCATTCCAAGGTTGGGCCAAATCCATATTACGCTATGGAGTAAGTAGATAATATTCACAGCTATGCCCCGGGTCCGCAAACACATTCTTATGCTGATCTCGAGAGTTCCTATAGGACACATCTTCCAGACTTTGTCGGAGATGCAATCTAAAGTGGTTCTCCATTACCTCATGTTATTTACAAAAATGCTTTATTATCATTTTCAAGATGCATACGCCGCTAAACAGGGTAAATTGAGTAGGCACAGTGCGGGGCGAAGAAGACACGGTATGAGCTCGCTTCTGTTAGTGCCTTTCCTCCATCTAAGTACTCAAAAGTGGCCATCTCTTCTCCAATAGAGACTCGCCATCTGGCAAAGCACTATGGAGAACATATGCAACCTGTATTTAGTTTCTCTATGGACTGCCTTGGCAATACATGAACAGAGTTTGTTGTCGTGAGGGCAGCAGAAATTTCTGACTTGCCGCGAATGTGGCAGACAAGACGGGGAGGGCTCATTGATCTCAGAGATCATTTGTTCTATGCCCTTTAGGCCGAGGTCTCTGCTATTAGCACTATGCAAACTTTTTTCTGTCTTCTTTGCCTCGCCCACATATCTCTCTTCAAGTTCCTCGAAGACCCAGTCTCATGTTCATTGATGCCTACGATTCCTCGAATGCCCTCTTGTGCCTTGATGGGTTGCCTTCTACAACCTATGATATATCTGACGGATGCTATCAACTTTGTAATATTGGTTTTGGTTCTCGAGGAATATCAGAGTATTTTAAATATGGAAACAATGTCAAACTAGGTATGACTGAACACAACCTCATAGTAGCAAAGAAAAACTCCATCAGAGTGTATCTAACTCAATACGGTGGATATTAACTGATTTTTCGCATCTGCATAACCTACTTCGCCCCTTGACGCAGCAATTGGGACAGTAGTCCCACCACTACCCTCCTTCTCTCCTCCATCCGCTCCCTCCGACGCAAAGCCTACCACCCGCCTTCGGCACCAACGAACAGAAAATATAACCAAACAGTACTATACCCAACGCCGATCTACCATGCAGCCCATCCAACTAAGTGAGTCGGGCCCCCAGAGTTCATCGCCACAGTGAACACCCTGAAGCTCACTTGCTCTGGCACCAAGCACACCATGAGGCTCACTACCAGGCATACATTTAGGCATATTCTTGATGAGCAGATTGTTCAATATCGATTCAGTGGATTCCACACCATAGGCGGCTAATATGGACTAGAAGACTATATAACATTGATCTCTGAGCTTGGTGTGTTATGCTTATATTGTCTAGGCTCATGTACATACAAGGTTGGCCATATTTATTGGCTAGTCCTCTAGTCGAGTTTACTGCGCCAGAGACGATGACGAGGAACTGGACTAACGTTCCAATGCCGGACAATATTCCAAAACAAACAACCCAATCAGCCAGGCTCAACCATCACAGTATGATGTTGAGGAGTTACGCCGTCTAATCCCGGTATCGCAAGTGGACATCACTAGGTTTAGATGGGTTTGTGCGAGCTCAACCCTACTACCCGACTCCAAACTACTAGTATCAACTAAATCATGCCTTCTAGATTAAAGATATCAGCAGCCTGACAGAATGACCGAAAGCAGGCGGGAACTTATCCTTACCTAACCTCTCTTGACAGGATGTCTTTTCATTGTTGCAGCACCTCTGTCCGGTGTTCGGACGGGCTCATTGCAGAGCTCGTTGTATCATAAATAGGGTTTCCAAAACCTCAGAAATTTTCTGTCTAGGTTGCTTTTGCCCTTCAATGTATCCTCGGTCATTAAGTTATCACGGAACCTGTTCCTTGTGTATATTGCATACTATCCTGTTGCTCCCCGTGGAGAACGGTATGTATATAGTTGTTCCTGAGGCACCAAATCGACCAGTCAAACTTATGGGGTAGACATGAAGTTCTTGGCATTCATTCTGCCCTATTGATGCTGAAACCACCTTTACCGCCTTAGGCATAATTTTCACAATGCTCTTTTGTTAAGCAGAGATACGTAACTATCCTCTGAGCATATACTTAAAGCACTCCCAAATGGTTTATTTGATAAATTAAAGGATAAATATCTTTGGAAGTCACTAGATAAGATATTATGTACGGCGTGCAGCAGAGCATTCGATGGACCGGGTGCTTACTCCGTCGTTAGATAGAACGGCACTGGAATGCTTGGGCTTTAGGATGCATTCGAAGGATGCTCCTCTCTACAGCTCATCTCACACGATGGAATCGTTCCGCCTTCTGATCTGACAATACGATAAGATAGGAGTGCACGTCACTACTAGTACACTACCCGAACGTTCATAAAAATAGAAGAAATTATTACAGCATACCCATAGCATGATCCTCGGCCTGTACCGGTTTGTAGTGGATATCATGCAGCTGCAATCGCAGAGATATAAATCGCACGAAGGGAAATCTATTGAGAACAGATATTTTTAACGCAAATCTAGTAGCATATAGTACACCAAACTAGTCATGTGGTAATAATCTATTTGCCGATCTCAACACCACCAGTGGCACCCAAGAGACGCTTGATGTCACCGTAGATGGCGAACTGACCAGCAGTCAGGGTACCAACCATGAACAGACGGGCACCAATACCGGCGTAGGAGCCACGGAGACCGAGCTCCTTACCGATCTTGACGAGACGAGAGATGGTACCCTCACCAGGCTCACCGGGGGTCTTGTTGATCTTGCTCAGCATAGTATCGGCGGGCTGGGAGACGAGAGCGGCAGCGAAACCAGCAATGAGACCAGAGCCAAGGTTGATAGTAGTCTTAGCACCATCGGTGAGGGTGTCCTTGTCGAAACTGCGGTAGATAGCCTCAGAAACCTTCTCGAAAACGACGAACTTGGCCATGGTGTAGGGAACCCTAGAAATGTCAATTAGACTTGTGTTTGCCCAAGCTCGGCAAGGAACGCGTGCAAACTTACTGCTTGAAAAGAATGGGACCGAATCCAGAGTAGAAAGCGCCGACACCCTCGTTCTTAAGGATCTTACCGAAACCGTTCAAGAGACCGGTAGCGAAAGTGGGCTGGGAAACGAGACGGATACGGGTGGCTTCAAGAGGGCAAAGGGCGATATCAGCGAAGAACTCGGCGGTGGCGGAAGAGGCAAGGTAAACAGCGGTGCGGTTGTTGGAGGCAGTCTCGTAACCGAGCTGGTTGATCCACTGCTGCTTGAAGAACTCATAACCACCGAACTTGAAAGCACCCTGGAGGAAGTAACCGGCGGCGGTAGGACCGAAACCAGTGAGGAGAGCGCCAGCACCCTCGTTGGCAATAACCTGACGGAAACCACCGATCATACCACGGTTGTAGGTGACGGGGTCAAGCTGGATTCTGGTCTTGACGCTGCACAGGAAAGGGAACGTCAGTACGGACACTTCAAGCCGGAACGCCGGAACAAGGCGCATTGAATGCCAATAGGGCGACCAAATTGGACTTACACATCGACAGGAGTAAGAGCTCCGTGGGTGACGGAACAGCAGACAGCACCAGCGAAGGCGAATCTGGAGTAGAGAGCAAGGCCGCTGAGCTGCTGAGGAGCAGCGGGCGCGGGAGATTCGGCTTTAGCGGACATTATATTATATGAAGAGTCGTACTCTGCTCTAAACACAAAAAGGAAAAGGGAAGAGAGGAGTGGGGAGATGGGAGGGTGGAAATGTCAAGCAATTGAAGCTCAGTAGGGATTGAGATGGAAAGAAATTGAATCCGGGAGGAGAGGATTTGAAAGGGATGGCGTCGGCACTAGTCGCAACCCGAAAACTTTTCGCGGCCAATGCGGGTGAGGGTCGACGGCACGACTACGACTTGCCACCGTTTAACTCCGATCGCCCGGTCAACAGCAGAGAAAAGATATCCATATCTTCTTGATACCATTATCTATTGGATTGCCTATGGGTGCTACTTATACAGAGAGTATTCATATAATCCTCTCTGTCTATCAGTCTTCTTCATTTCATTCTCCCAATTTTCACCCAGTCCTTGGAAAGGATTAAAAAAAAAAAAAAAGAAAAAGAAAAAGAAAAAGCTACGTGTCCGACGATATCCAGCCGGATCTGATACTGGCAATTAGTAGCCTCAGGCATTCATGACCGCCCGATGAACATGAACTTGGAACATGAACTCCTATACCAAGAGAATGACCAGAGCATTTCCATGACCTGTGAGTCAGTGATCACAGGGCAAAGAATGGACTGAGTTACAGTGTCCTATTATTTCGATAACTATGACATTTTTTTATCGGGCTTTACTTAATATTTTACTTAATATCTCTTGGCCATTCAACTGTTCCCGGTTTGATATGTCACTCCCTCGGATCCCCACCCGGTGGCATCCCTTATTGATACCTGAGGCAGCCCCCGGATGATTGTACCATCTTTAATTGGTGCAATATCTCCTGGTTCCTTTCACAAACTTGAACTTGCACCCAAAATTAGCCTGGAGAAGGAGAAAGCAAAAGAAAGAAAAAAGAAAAAAGAAAAAAGAAAAAAGAAAAAAAGATCTCACAATTAAGGTCGAGTTCTTAATTCGTTCTTTATTGAGGAAACTGCCAAACTTTGCTGCTGGCGCCGTGATTAACAAGTCAACTATGAACAGCCCTGGTAACTCGTGGCGGTCAAGACAAAGGCTCAATCACCACCTAATCGTCAACTCGAATCGAAGGCGCTTGTTTGCTTGCTCTGATTTGTATCCACTAAACACCTGACAGCAGGTCTATCATGTCTTGCAAAGTCATACAGTATCTGACCGGTGTTTCACACCGACTGCTTGGGTACTGAAGCAGTTGATACGTCTATTGAAGTAGAATGGCGCATGATGACGCACCCGTCCGATATTTGGCTATACCTGTCAGAAAATCAGTCTTTTACTTGTTGAACGTATTCATCAGCTTCACTTCGTAGTCTCTCACAGCGGCTTTCTTTCTATTCAAACCATCAATGTTACCCATCCCGTCCTGGTGTGATCCCAAAGCAAGGGAAGAAAGAAGAAAATGGAAGAGGATCGAAAGTCAGTTCTCTTGTTTCTCTATAGATAAGCTGTCAGTCTGTGGATACTAAATACGCGATCATGCATAGAAGAGGCAGAGCATCTAGCTAAACTCCCATCATGGGATACTCCTGACAATTCGCTGATGCTACAGGGCTTCGAATGGCATGTTCCAGATGATCAAGGGCACTGGAAACGTCTTCAACGCTCACTAATTAGTCTAAAATCAATCGGTGTTGACAGTATTTGGATCCCACCGGGATGTAAAGCAATGACCCGTTCCGGTAATGGCTATGACATCTATGATCTATACGATCTAGGAGAATTTGACCAGAAAGGATCACGATCTACAAAATGGGGTAGCAAGGAAGAGCTCCAATCACTAGCTTCCTCTGCGCGGGATCTCGGTATTGGCATTTGCTGGGATGCAGTCCTTAATCACAAAGCTGGTGCAGATTATACAGAACGATTTTCAGCTGTAAAAGTGGACCCAAAAGGTATGTATGATCTCTAGTCTTAGAGAAACGATATAAGTAGGCTAACTAATATTCTGGCTGGGACAAAAGATCGCAGTGTTGAAATATCCGCTGCAAAGGAGATTGAGGGCTGGGTTGGATTCAGTTTCCCGGGCCGTGGCGGCATATATAGTCCCATGAAATATAGTTGGCATCATTTCAGCGGCGTTGACTGGGATGAAACCCGGAAGAAGAATGCGATATACAAAGTTGCCAGCAAAAGATGGTCTGATGATGTGGCTCACGAGAAGGGAAATTATGACTATCTTATGTTCGCCGACCTAGATTATTCCAACCTAGAAGTTCAGAAGGACGTTCTCTGGTGGGGAGAATGGGTAGGAAACCAGCTACCTCTCTGTGGCATGAGGTTAGATGCAAGCAAACACTACTCGGCTGAGTTTCAGAAGAAATTTGTCAATCATGTTCGAGCAACTGTCGGGCCGCGATTTTTCTTCGTTGCAGAGTACTGGAGCGGCGATGTCAGGGTTCTTACGCGTTATCTACAGGTGATGGATTACCAGCTGGCTCTGTTCGATGCACCCTTGGTCGGACGCTTCTCGAGGATCTCGCGCACAGGGGAAGATCTTCGCAAAATTTTCGATAATACGCTGGTAGAGAACAAGCCTGCACACGCAATCGTAAGACCAGTTCGATCTTATCCTTCGTTTGCACTATACTTACCGTACGAGTAGACTCTAGTTATGAATCATGATACGGTAAGAGGAAGACTGATCGTGGATCAGCATCCATGGAGATGTTAATCAGTTTTCCTATAGCAACCAGGACAGTCCCTAGAGGTAGGGACACATTATCCTTTTCGATCTTGGGGACAGCTAATAAACTACCCAGGCTCCGATCGCATCATTCTTCAAGCCTCTCGCCTATGCATTGATTCTACTCCGAGACAAGGGGCAGCCGTGTATATTTTATGGAGACCTTTACGGTATCCGACGCGGCGTCAAACATCCTATGACCCCATCCTGTGGCGGAAAGCTTCCAGTTCTTGCACGGGCTCGCAAGCTGTACGCTTACGGCGTACAATGCGACTATTTTGATCAGGCCAATTGCATCGGTGTGCACCCTAAACAGTATTCAATGTGCTGGCTCATGGCCGCCTAACAAATTAGTAGGATTCGTTCGTTATGGCAATCTGCATCATCCATCTGGCCTAGCATGCATCATGAGCAACGGTGGTGCGTCTCAGAAACGTATGTATGTCGGGCGGAGCCATGCCAAGGAGCGATGGACAGACATTCTGGGGTGGCATCCAAAGACAGTTATCATCGATAAGAAAGGTTATGGGGTATTTCCTGTTTTTGCAATGCAGGTCAGTGTCTGGGTCAGTTCGGCCGCAGAAGGGAGAGAAAGCCTTCGGGAGCCATTGTAAGCGCCATTTCACCCATCCCTTCATATGCTTTCTCAATATAAGGCTTCTTTGAGCTAATCTATTGATAGTGAGGAGGGGATTTACGAGGATTGACCGGCCTATCTGTGCCTTACAGATATCTGACAAGGTGTAATTTTGACCTATTATCCGGCGGTGGTATGAGTTGGTGGGCGATCAAACTATTATATGCTAAGACCTTTCGAATACCCATCTAGCGGCTGAAATTGACATTTTTGGGTTTTTATCAATCATGTTGCTATGTCGGTCCCTAACAAGAAAAAAAAATTAAAATAAAATAAAACCATCGCTAGCTCTTTGGAGATATAACAGGGGCCTTCACCGACTACTATGAGCACCATTATACTTTGCTTATATCGAGAAAAGCTACTGTTTACTAATCATTTTACTTGTTTTATACCCTTAGCTGAAGTAGTTAAATCATCTGAACGCAGAATAGTGGATAATATATCCAGTTTACGCGTACAGCTCACGATTCCACATGACATCCCCGTGATGACCCCATGCCCCAAACAAGATTACCTGTTGTTTCAAATTCAAAGACAACATTCTGGCAGGTTTTACAAGCGGACATATCAACAGTACCTTGTTATTTAGCTTCTTCCTTTAAATGATCAATCCAACCCTCGCCTCCACCCATACGTTGTACGGGACATTCACCGCAGCCAACTGTAGCTATTTCTTTCTAGGTTGACCGTCTGCTGTTCGTTGCATTGGCAGATTCGGAAAAGATGGTCATTACAATATTCCTAGCAACTACGTAGATATGCCCCACTATTTGAGTTAGGAGTTAAAAGTAGTTCGCTCAGGTTATCGCTTAGTGTTATTCAGGAATGCTTGTCATGACGCGGCTCCGTCAACCCGGTTGTCTCCAATGAAGCTGTTATTCGTACACAAGAAAACCTCAACTGCAATGATCAAGCGACGGATCATACATGATATAGGTCTCGACGATAAAGAATCAGACAATTTTCTTTCGCTCTCCTAAAGGGCAAGTTCGCTGTTCTTTCTCTTCGGCGTTCTGTCCGTGGCGGGTCTGCTTCCGAAGGGAAAGATATCAATGCAAGGGACTTGCGAAGTTTAACAGCACTAGAGGGCTCCACGCAAACCGACAATCTTGGCAACTACTCCTAAACATTCTCCAGTCAGGCGGAATCTATATGACCTGAATCATCAGGTGAAGCAACAGTACTCACATACATAACACTTCAATTTAGTCGAAGCTGTCACTGCAACTTAAGAATGTGTGCCGGACTATGGGTGCTATAGACAAGCTTTTCCAAGTTAAGGTTGAGTTCAATAAAAGTGCGCTGCTAATGAAGATCCGCTCTTGCTATGAATGAACCTGAACTCTAAGCACTTGGTAGGGCTTAGGGTGAATCATTTGGAATACGTTGATCTACTTACTAGTTCTCAGAGAAACACAAAGGACTAAACCATGCCTTGCTTCAGATGCTATGGTACCTCTGGTCCAGTTACTGCTCGACAGTTGATCGGAGAATGACAGGGCGCTCTTTTTTGGTGGGTGGATCAACATGTTTACACAAACCCACATACTCATCGAGCAGATCATGATCCACTTCGCCTCTTTGTACTAATAGAGGGCATCACAGGGGGATATTTGAAATACTTGACATTATCATAGATGACGACTCCTGTCTATTACTCATGGGCTCCTTGAAAATTAAAGGCTACGACAGCCGTTTATTAAACCCGACATCCCAAAGCTCCTTGGTGTCATTATATGGTGTAAGATCCACAAGTTACTTGAAGGCCAACATATCAACATGTCTAACAACCCACTGCCAGTGAAATCATGTCATACAAGAGAGATAATAAACGGTTTGTTTCTGAACGTTCGACCAGATCCTGCACTTGAGCTAACATGCTTATTAGAGGAAATCATCACCTCACCAGAAAAATCACATAGCTTGCCTAGTAACGATCAAGGCGATGACCGCCGTTCTTCTGAGAGTCAATCAAGTACATTTTCTCCCTGGAGTTGCTGTCATACGGAATCGAAAACCGTGGTGGCTTTTAAGCCACATGATCCAGAGCACCCTAACAATTGGTCGAAGGTATAGTGGAACTGTCCGGAATCAAGAAGTTCCTACAACGTAATATTTCCATACTAATGAACTAGTTTTGGAAAATCCTTGTGCTTGTTACTGGTGCCAATGAGGTCATGAATAGCACTGTCGGGTCCTCAGTCACAGGCGGAGCTACAAAAGCAATTGCCCATGAATTTAGCGTGACAAATCAGCAGATCCTTGTCCTACCGATTTCTATGTTCCTCGTCGGCTATATCCTGGGACCTCTGTTATGGGGCCCCTTATCGGAGGCTAAGGGACGAAGGTCTCCTTTATTGATAGCTTTTCTGTTATATACCATTTTCATGATGGCATCTGCCCTGGCAAAGTCGTATCCATCTTTGCTTATCTTCAGATTACTCGATGGAATGGCTGCTTCTGCGCCTATCGCTGTCGTTGGCGGCATATATGCCGATATAGAGGCAGATCCTACGGCTCGTGGTCGACTCATGGCGTATTACATGACGGTAAACGCCCAATCCTCAGCAGTAGTGTTGTTGTTCGTGTTTGTTGGGGTATTAACCCACTTTTTATAGGCTACAACCATAGGACCCGTCCTTGGGCCTCTAGCGTCAGGTTTCCTCGTGAGTTATGGCTGGAGATCATGTTTCTGGTTTGGTCTTGCGTATGCAGGCATTAGTCTACCTACGGTTCTCCTGATGCCTGAAACATACGCGCCTATAATTCTTCAACAAAGAGCTAAGAGGCTACGGAAAGAGACGGGCAACTTAAATATAGTGTCGCCGTTGGATCTCGATAGCCGAGGTTTTAAACGAACACTCGCCATCAACTTGGCACGGCCATTGCGAATGTTGTTCTATGAGCCTATCACATCCTGTTCTTGCTTATACCTCGCCCTTACCTACGCAATATTCTATCTTTACTTTCAGGCCTATCCATTGGTTTTTCAAGGTTAGTGGTACTTTCGCCCTGTTGCCCACCCTGCCCTATAGCGACCCTTTCGGAACAAATTCTCCCAATAACATGGAAGGCTGCACGTCAACGTACTAACTTGGGAAATGAATGCAGGTATCTACGGAATGGGACCAGCTAAATCTGGGCTTTGCTTCCTTCCAAGTAAGTCCTATGAAGCCTGAGCTCTCGAGAATAGTACTGATTTCCCAGTGCAGTCGGCGTCGGCGCGGTAGTTGCTTGCATGATATTCATCTGGTACGACCGGTTCTTATCCCGAGCCAAAGCCCGGAATGCGAAATGGGCATATATTGAAGAATATCGTCGTCTTCCCCTTGCTTGCCTCGGGGGGCCACTATACGTTGTAGCTATCTTCTTCATGGGTTGGACAGCTTTTCCCAACGTTCACTGGTCGGTTCCTGCATTGTCAGGAATTCCGTTCGGGGCCGGATACTTGTTGAATTTCATGGCCATGGCCAACTACATGGCGGACGCCTACGAGACCTACTCTGCTAGCGCTATGTCTGCATCCGCTTGTACACGGAGTATTCTGGGGGCTATGTTGCCGTTAGCGACCAAGCCAATGTTCGATCGCCTTGGGGTAAATTGGGCATATACTCTTGTTGGATTTTTGAGCCTTGGGGTCACAGTAATTCCATTTGTCTTCATTCGGTACGGCGTTCGTATCCGAGAGAGCAGCAAGTTCTGTCAAGAGCTCAAGCGGTTAAAGGAGGTCGATACTCGGGGACCACAAACAGATCGAAGCGTGGGAAGGTCGAGTGAGGTTTCTGTGATTCATGTTGAGCCCAAGGATCTAGAGAATCAGAATGGTCGGTAGACTTCGAGCGACATCAAGGTGATGATATATAAAAGAAAAATATATAAAATTCATAACACGGAGAAAATTCATCTTTGCTCTCTCTCTCTCTCTCTCTCTCTTCCCTTCTCTTTTTTATTTAATTTATATATATATATTTTCCCCTCATCAAAATTCCCAAGGTCATGAGATTAATATGTGAATAGTATCATTATTTTTAGATCTTATCTCGGACGAATTGGGAAAGTGGCTATGATAACTTACATGCTCCTTGCTCGTTCTTAGTCTCGGGATGAGTGGGGAAATTCAGATTGGAGGGGGGAAACTGTGGCATTCCTCCATGATGCAGCAGAGGACAAAAGTTACTATTTTTGTCTGCTTATCACTGTTTGAATGTTGGCTTTGGCACTGTTCGCCAGTGTACCTGTGGCTGAGCAGTGCAGATTACAAACTTTCTTGTTTGCAAGTTAGATTTCAATCCAAGCAAGTCAGACGTCAAGAATCCCTAACTACTCCTCCTAAATGTGCTAAAGGTGGAGAGAATTAATCATCCCTGTTGCTTGCAGGTTCGAGAGCCAATCCCAGAGCACGGGCGCGCATGATTTACAATCTAAGCTGAGACCGTTTGTTTTCTTGCGACTTCATTAAATCCCCCTGCCTCTCTTTTTTCTTTCTTCTTTCTTCTCTCTTCTCTTCTTCTCCAATATCGTACGGTTAATATCTCCTTTACCACTACCCCCTTGATATTTTGGTTGCTGTCCTTCGTTTATCAGCATTTTTGCGTTTTTCTTCCGGCTTGAATCTCATTCCATCGGTCGTTCTAATATTGTTTAATATTCTGGACTTATATTAATACTATTGATTGTCGTTACCAGCAGAATCTCTCTGTTATCTATATCCTATATGTGAGCTACTGGTCTCTTCTAGGACCTGTATAATATTACTAGACCTAGACCATCTCTCGTATAATTTCGCAGGAGACGAAACATGGATTCGCCTCAATATCAAGAGCTTGGACTTGTGTCGCAGGAACAACAACCCATCGATCACGAAACAGTGCGGGCGACTTGGAAATTCCTGGCGGGCCTATCGTCGAACTTGACGCTTGTGGGGTATGTTTTCTTCTGCCCTCCTGCGTATAAACAATTTGATGACTGACATACTATCGCAAAGGTTCCTGGTCATGCCTTTAGCTTTTGAAGACGCCAAGGATGATTCTCTCGGAGACAAGACCGGCACAGCTGTAGCAGCATTGGCATTGATCGGAAACGCATACCTTCTGTCGCTCATCTTATTTTGCGCCCAGTATCGTAAGCGTACATACTTGATTCATTCTGTCTTCCTGTAAATGCCCGATGCTTTTTTTTTTTTTTTTTCCTTCTTTTTTCTTTCCCTCCCCCGGGCCCCAACCTTCTTTTTGGATTACAATCTCACCACCACACAGGCCTTGTCTATTGTCCAACCTCCTCGGACTGTTGAACGTCGTTCTCAATATTCTCTGTCGAAAGCTACTCCCGGTCGGTCGCTTGGAAACAGTGGGCATGGTCCTTGCCTCTATATTCGCAGTCGTCTACGCGTTGTGCGCATTATGGGCCTATGGAAACGACATCGCCGACGAGATTCGAGTCGACGAGGCCGACCGTACAATAATCCCTTTGACTGAAGAGGAGATGCAACGACAACAGCTCCTCCGACTTCTTCAAGAAAATCAAAGTAAAAAGAAATCGAGCTCCAAGGTTATGCAAAAGACTTTCAGGGTTAAAGTTCCAGAACACATCAATCCGGGCAAAGGATGGGATTCCTTCATGCCTCCTCCTCGCGAGAGCAGCTATTATAGCTGATTTGGTCAGCCTAGATGCATAACAATGAAGCGAGATGATGGAGTAATTTACTGCGAAATATCTCAGCCCTTCCTTGACTGGTCGTCGGATTCATTTTCATCACTACCAAGCATATATCGCGCTAGAATCTCCAGTCTCCGGTTGTCTGAGTATAAGAGACTAGCTGAGTATGGCTTACACGATACTATACCCAACAAGGCAGAATTCGAAGGATCTACGGAGGCTACGAATGTGTTGGGAAAACGAAGGCCAACCAATAATGTCGAAGGTGATCTACCGAGGATCTTTATAATCCGATACTTTCTTTCGACTCTGATCCAGACATCACATGCTTTCTGCAGCCGTGCTTACAGCAATATAGAAACTTTGCGTGTCTATTACATTCGTAGCTTAGAAAGAAGCCAGTGTTTTGTGAAGCGAGTCTTCCCAATCGTGTATACGAGGGTATGAGAAAATAATTGGATACAAAGGAGAGAAGGAGGGGGAAAAAATAAAAATAAAAATAAAAATAAAAGAGCCAGACTTGGTGTGTTGGGAGCAAACAAGTGGTAGTTCTTCGTAGGCTTATCTAGAGAGGAAGAATAGAACTGCCGACGGAGATTCGGCACGAAACCATGGGAAGTTGAAACAGGAACGCCTCGGTAATTACCCGATTAGGAAACCATTGCCCGCGTCATCCACGGGGTCAAAAGTTCCTTCCTCAACCTTTCTCCCTCTCTACCATGAGTTCAATACTTTTCTTCCTTCGTTATTAAGTTGCCATTTTTATCTCCTTGTGTAGAACCATCTGCATACTGTCTAAACCCCAGTCATGGCGAAAAGAGTGACTCTCTTTGAACCTCCCCCGCTGGATTCTTCCAAAGCCCCCATCGAAAATGTCCTAGAGTTAACGCCCGTGATAGATATTGGTCCAGTCCGTTTGTCTAAATCCGTACCACCTTCCTTGTCATGTCTCTAACCATTCTATTCCCCTCAACAGGATGTCTTTACGAATACTCGTCCTCTCTGGCACCCACCTGGCGCGCGGGGCATCTACGGGGGTGCGGCAATTGCCCAGTCGCTCGCCGCGGCGATGCGGACGGTTCCGTCGGATTTCGCCGTCCACAGCATGCACTGCTATTTCGTCCTCGCCGGCGATTCCGAAATGCCCATTCTATACCATGTCGAGCGAGTGCGCGATGGAAGGAGCTTCATAACGCGCACTGTCCAAGCCAGGCAGCGCGGACGACCAATTTTCACCACCACCTTGAGTTTCAGCAGGGCCAACAGCGGCGGGAAGAAGAAGCTGGAACATGCGACATCAATGCCTGCTGTTACGCTGCCGGATGATTCTTCTGCGGACGTAAAGAGGAAGTTTTATAACGCTGGAGGCGGGCCGTTCGAGTCGCACAAGCTCGGGACTGTGAACCGTAAGCGTCATGACTTGCGTGTTATGCTACGAGTTGGATGAAGTTCCGGTCATGCTAACTGGCTCAGGGGATTCGTCCAAGCCTGAAGATAAACGAATCCGACGCTGCATGCGCGCACGAGGCAACATCTCCGAGGCCGGCGGCCACCACGCCCATCTTTCCGCCCTCGCCTATGTGACCGATAGTTATTTCATCGGAACTGTATCGCGCGTCCATGACATCCCTCGGTTTGCCTCCCCCGCCGAACTCAAAGCAGCCCTAAACGCACTTAAAAACCCATCTGACTTGGATGACGACGAAATCTCACGAGCGTTCAAGGAGTTGAAGGAAGAAGAGGCCGCAGAATTGCGCCGTCGGCTGGAGGGCGCCCTCAGTAAAGCTGAGGACCCGAAAAACAAACATAAGCATAAAGAGGTTGGCATGATGGTCAGTCTTGATCATTCGATTTACTTCCACAACCCTTGGGCGTTTCGCGCAGACGAGTGGATGGTCACGGAGATGGAGAGCCCTTGGGCTGGCGAGGGAAGGGGTTTGGTACTCCAGAATATCTGGTCTAAAGATGGAACATTAATCGCCACATGCACGCAAGAGGTATGCTCCTTATTACTCGTTTGTTGTTCCTCGGTCCGTTGTCGAATCCGACTCACTAATGCATGGTTGGTATAGGGTGTTGTAAGATTAAAACAAGATGAGCCCCCTCGGTCGAAGATATAGACTGTTGCATTACATTATCCAGCATCAAATACCCTTTCGTCTTGTTGGCGGTATATAATTTCTTTCCAGGTTTGCTTTGAACTAGAGCGAAAGCACTTTCCCACTTGCTTTTGGTTATAATACGTCGTTGCATAGACACTTATCATATATATATTCTGGGTTCTCCCTGCCCCCTGGTCTCTATTTGAATACATCATTCTTTGTACATACATTTCAGTTGCTCACTTCGGCTTATCTTTGAGGTGTTGAAATTGAGTTTCATATATATCATTCAGATATAGCGTACATGGATTGAACAATTCTCGTCTGCCCTTCATAAAATCACGGTGACAGAAGGAAAAAAAGGAAGAAAAAAAGAAGCAACCATGACAGCATTTGATGCCAAAAAAAAAAAAAAAAAAAAGAGTTCGCTTTCGCAAGTAAAAAGATCAAAGTGCCACCCACCCGTTTTAAAACCAAAACAATGCCCTCCCGATGCAAGAAAAGGAAATGAATAGTGCTACAAGTTGTCGTGACCCCACCGATTTTTTACACCTCCATCATCCCTACCTCCTCCTTCAGCTTTTCTTCCTCTCGGCTTCGCTTCTCACAGAATTCCAACGCCTTCGCCCCCCAAACTTCCCTTCCTTTGTATTCGCCGACATAGTCCGGCCAGCTTTTGATTTCCTTGGCTAAATTTCGCAGCTCCTGCATTGGCAGTTCATTCAAGGTGGTAAGAAACGTCTTGACGCCGAAAACGAGTGTTCCAGTCCGAGGCAGTCTACGAAAGGTCTGTCGCTCACGGCGGATGACGATATCCTCAGGGGATGGGTTGGGGTTGTCCTCAAATAATGTCGTAGGACGATAAAGGGTCTCAAACAGGTCTTCATCAGGGCGCTTCACTTCAACAAAGTAGTTTGACCGTTCCATTGGTGAAGATGGCGTGAGGCGGTTCAAGAACCTAATCGAAAGTCAGTTCCCTATCTTCTTTACTGAGCTTCATATCCACTAACTTGCTAACAGAAGCAGCGACTTGCTGATGCCACAGAGGCACAGGTTCATGAAGCCGGGAGATTGTCCATCCAATTCGTTCCTGTACAGTCCATCCCACCGGAAAGAGGCTTGCACTGGCGGCCCTGCCTAGTTGGTCAGCTGTTGTTGCCCTGAAAGTAGGCCAAGGAGGGTCTCTTCAAACTGACAAATAGTATTCGTCGTCCGCATTTTTCATCAAGATGCTTAGGTCTTCCATGGTCAACCTCACCGCTATCTCGAGCGGATCGACCTGCTTGTTTTGACCCCCAAACACGAACGTTTCGCCGGTCACCTTGTTATGAACAGTTGACTCGTTGCCGAACCTCTTATGTTCGAATTTGTCTGGGAACCGTTGGCATAGGAAATCAACCACCTCCTCCAACGCTTCAAGACATGCTTCGTATGACTCTGGGAGACATTGGAGGACCTTTTGTTTTTCTTGTTGCAGCAATTGACTCCGGACCTGATGCTCCGCCATGTAGTTCTTGTCGATGGTAAGCCAGTTTTGGGCATCTAGCTTCCGGATATCCATCATGACTCTATATCTTTCCCTCCCTTTGATGGGAGGAGGCTTAAGGTCCTCGCAACTAACATCTTGTGAATGGTTTTTGGGCTGAAGCCTGGGAAGATATTCTCGGAATCTAACAGCAATGAAGGACAGAAAAAGAAATATAAGTCCAATGCATGAAAGGGTGTTCATCGCCTTGTTTGCCTGGAATCCAATCAATATAAAGGAAAGGAAAAAGAAAAAAGAAAGAAAGGATGATGTTATGGAACTTTTGGTTGTCTCTCACTCATCGGACGCCACGACCAGGAATCACTGTTAACATCAACATGGCAAAACCTTCCCCGGAAGAGGGCAATGGCTCGAAATTTATCTGGTCCATGGACCCTAGGAGATGATGATCGTCTGGGTCAGACGATTACCTACAAAGGCTACAATGGCTTCTACATTCCTGATTCAGGCAGCTGGGTCGAACTCTGATACGTCCTGGACTTCCCCGCAAAAAGCCGCAATTCGCCGCTCCAAAAAAAGAAAAGAGAAAAAAGAACTGACAGCATCCACATGATCTAGTAGACTTTCTCAGCTCTCATAGCAATTGAGCTTCAGTGGGTCCTGGGACGGGGGTGGAGGAGAAAGTCAGGGAAAGTGAACTCTAAGTGGATCAGGGAAGGGCCAGGCAAATGGACTCAATGTACGGAGTACAGCGCCTCAAAGATCCGCAGCCGGGTCACTATGCGGAGTCCTTCAATCGGCCGTACAATTGCATTACCAGGATGCTCCCCTCCCTCTAACTAAGTACGAGCTGACTAGCCTCATAGCCCCTCCGATCTAAAGGGCTGAGGGTACCTCTGCTCTTCGTCAGCCGGAGTTCACGCGTCTCCCGTCCGTGCGCATAAGAATGAAAGGCCTCGTGAGCTAAAAACAAGAGCCTGACTTAGGGAACTCAGTCTACTGCCTAACAGTTCCTGCTGTTCCGCTCCAGCAACACTCGACTTGATTTTCCGAGAAGTAGATGCAGAATGTCAATAATGGCATCATGACATCAACCTGGGATTACGAAAAGAAATTAGAAATAGCGCAGGTAGCACGTTTGCGTGGTGACTGGCCTGAAATTGCAGAAACCCATACATCGTGCTAACCAAGCGCACTTGTACGACAGAATGAATATTGCCTGAGAGCTTCTGGGGCACAGCGCGTGCGTAGATGCGTGGGCCGAGTCCCAATTTGGTGGTCGATGGTCACACAGTTCCAGAGCGTCTGTTGTCATAGGTCACCGGGCTGTGGATGGAATCCAGTCCAGGTACCACTGTACATCATGTTCACTGACGTGCTGGCATGCTAGTCATTCGGAGTACTACGACTGGTCCATCTTCTCTGGGCAACCGTGGCACTATCCTCGAAACTAGGATCAGAAGAGAAGGTACGGGGCCGACACTGACGTACCATGAGGGACAAAGTCCTTGCAGTCTTTCGGTCCCCGCGAAGCTATGGAAGACTAAACATGCTAGGGCGGTGCACTCTAGGTACGCCCCAGCCAGTGGGGAACCTCAACTAACTACTTATCTACTTCGGTACGAATGTATGCACATCCATACTATGGAAGTGCGCACTTACTCAGTCGACGATCCACCACCGACCGGGCCCAGAATTCGGGTTTCTAAGACAGTCGGTTTGGTTGGGCGACTCCACCCTCCCCGAAAACTGAGAAGATATCTGGGGTTTTGCGCTGCAACCGCCTTATCTCGCGCAAAGCGCGCTTGCCGCAGTCCTGCTTGGTTTTTTAGTAAGAATCAATGATCAATGGTGTACTAACCAGCCCCCTAGTATAGCGGTGTCTCAACCAAGAATGCGGTTTTTTTTCCCCTGCTGTCCACTTCTCTTTTTGACGGAGTAGGTGGCCTTTTCTCCCCTCGCATTTTTACTTTGATTTTTGCTTTTTTGTTTCTGTCGCATCTTTCCTTTTTCTGGCATGATCTGACAGGATTTTACGCCTCATTTGCTGTCCCTTTCTTCCCTACTCTTTTCTACCTTTTTTCTTTTTTTTTCCAATTTTCCCTATTCTTTTTATTTAATTATTATTATTTTTTTTTTCTTTTTTACCTTTCACACCCTCGCTCCCACGCATTCACACAGACTAGTATCCAAACCCTCCGATTGAATCACGTCTGACTACTGACGTCGATATAATTGCTTTTATCGGGCTGCCAACATGCAATCGGCAGCTACGGCACCACCTAAGACTTACTTACGAGACCCTCTTGCCTAGTCCGACTGTACTGAGCCCATAAAAGCGGAGATACCAAGGCCAAATAGTGGCCTTACTCATCGTGCACGAAAGCATCACTCTTAACTAGTGATGATCCACTTGTCAATGGGGCATTCGCAACCCACCGACCAAACGGCTTTCCTCCATTATAAATGATAGACTTGTCTAGACAGGCCTGGTAAACTCAGTCGAGACCCTAGTCCTCAAGTCTCCTCGGCGATATCTTGTCTAATAGGAGGGATCTACTGGGGCAGATAGTGGGACACCTACTCGTGCTAACCTTCTCCAGCATTTAGGGACTGGGGCTGTGGGCACGGACTTCGCTTCAAGGCCATTGTCAAGCCCTCCTGTGGCTCCCAAATTCTCCTCAGAATGGGGTCTCTCGGCGGATATCCTCCATTTGCCTACAGCACTGGGTCCATCAATGTAACTATGACTTTCGGAAGAATTGTCCACTCAATCGAGCATCCAGCACAGTGAAATTAGAATTCTGCCTCTCGTGATTACCTCTAAATGAAGTTCACACCATCTAAAGCCATGTATTGATTGATGCCTTATGTTTTTTGTACTGACGAGGAAGTACTCAGGTTTCAACGACCAGACCTACCTATCCTGGAAAGCCACAGGAGAATATCTCGAGATCTACCACCCGTATAGACAATTTACCTAGTTGCCTGATATACCTATCCCCGTCGTAAACCAGAATCCCACACCACTAGACCTAAAATGACAGAACTCGAACAAAAATACAAGTAGATACAAGAATCATGCAATCTAGCAACGAATTCCTTCTCTCCACTAACGTACCTCCACCCCAAGTAACTAAGTTAACTAAAGTTACCCTCTATAGGTAGATCCTAATAAGCAAAACCATTCCAGATCCGCCGAATGATAAACAAATAGCGTCTCAGTTCCTCAAGACATACCCTATTACCTAAGTCTGCAAGTCAACCTCCCCTTCCACTTACCTATAGGAGAGACGGGAACAAAATCCACCCGCTCACTTATCTTCCCATTCTCTTCCGTTGATCACCTGAAGGTTTGTTATTCCGTCTTCTTAAAAGATCAAGTCTGGTTAAGCTTATGTTTTCTCTATCCTTGTCTTACGAATTTGAGCTATATTTCTTTCGTTCTTTCTTTATCTCTGAGCTGGGGTTGGATTAAAGATGTATATTGATCCTTCTTTTACCCTTCTTTTACCCCGTTCTTGCAGGGAAACCCTCGAGAAAAGGGAAACGTGGGGTTTATGATTAGGGTGGTGTTATTGGGATTTTTCGTTTTGTTTGCTTAGATAGTATGTTCAGGTGATGGGTTCTTGTTCTCTTGGCTACGTACGGTTTGTCTTTGACTCGATGGGTGGCGAGGGAAGGTGTGCTTTGCTATTAAAACATACTAATTGACTAGTGCTATGCCCCCGAATGGATGATGAGATGATGAGGTAAGTGGTATATAGTGACAGACGGACATTTGTCGTGAGTATTTTTCTTTTCTCATTAACTGAATTAATAAATCAACCAATCATCAAGG